AAAAACAAAAAAAAACATGCAAAATAAAAAATTAATTTGAATAAAATGAACTTAATGAATTCTACTAGATAGAGCATGCAAGATAAAGAACTATTTCAACTACTGGGTCATCTTTGTCTTCTCCAACGTCGATCTGAAACAGATACGGTGGCAAACAGATTAATAAAGAGCAATTAAAATTAATTATATCAAGTATTCTCACCTTAATTAATTATAGCACGTAACATTCCAAAGTGTACAGGTGCGAAAAGTAAACCAACTCCAGAAAGGATACTGTAGCAGAGAATTTCTTATTTCGGTGGAATTCAAATAAATATCCAGTTGCTCTCGCTCATGGGTTGAAAATTAACTGCATGATGTTACAAGGCGAAGACGAAACAGCAAATCAAGAATATAATCCAGGAAAGACCACACCCTTGTAGACTTGGGCTGTTTCAGTATAACCAAACTGCACATTAATTCTCTCATTTATTGTATAACCTGCAGAAATGGATAAAAAACATATTAATTACACTCATAATTAAGAAACACAAATAAAAACGCATCAAACAGCAAGTAAAATAGTTGAATAATAAAATAACAAACATTACGCCATTTTACATCACAACCATAGAACGCGACATACATAAGTGTCAAATATTACGTCAATTTACGATGCAGACAATAGAAAATCGATAGATAGATAAACTCCATAGATAAATCAATGATAAATGTCAATTTATTCTGTGGGAAATAACTATCTGTCAAGATATAAATGCACAATAACCTCAATTTATACTGTTGACAATAGGTAATTGTTAATAGAAATTCAATTCAGAATAATACAGAATAATTAATAATAATGAAGTCATTTACTCTTACCATAATTAATTGTAGAAAGTGGCGTTCTAAAGTCTACCAGTGTGATGAGCAAACCAACCAAATCTAGAAAGGATACCACTGCAGATAATTTGTTGTTCTGGTTGCTTCCAAATTAATTCATTTCCAATTGCCTCCCATTGTTACGGCAAAAAATAACTGCATAATGTTGCAAGGTGAAGACGTCAAAAGCATCGGTTGTTTTAGTAGCACCAAAATTGACTGCAATTCCTTCTCATTTGTGGGACAATCTATATAGAAACAGGCAAGAAAAAAATAATTAATGATCATTTTTAAATCAAATAAATCAGTAACATGCACACTAATGGAAAGATCTGTTCCACATTAAATCTGCTTCTGCAATTTCTAAAACGTTGTTTAAAAGTTGTCTATTGAAGCAAGTTACAAATGTCTAAGAAATTGAAGTTATCTAAAGATATCATTTACTATTTTTAACTGATACTGTTACATACCAGTTCGTTGTCATAAATCTTTTTTCAGCACACTGTCTTCATTCTAATGAAAAAAAAAGCACTTTCATGCTTTCTTTAGAACCATGGGCACAGCTAGTTTCCAGGGCAAGAGGACTAATACAACCAATGCTCCAAAATTTCATAATTTAATGGTATCCGGAGTTCTTCTAATGTTCCTGTAAAATGAAATCTTATGAGTGTTCAGATATAATTAATTAAGTATTAAGTAAATAATGTGCACGATACACTGTTAAAGTAATGCTGAATCTTTTTCTTTGTTAATATCAAATAAACACACTACATATAGAAAATATAGTATGCATGCTCACCTTAATTAACTACAAGAGCCTCCAAGATGAAAGGTTAACAGCTAAAAC